CAAGAACCATGCCCCAGCCTAAATTCATCATTTGAGATTTCACACGGCTTTCACCTGTTCCCCTTGCCTTCCGTCCTCACAGCGGGCGCTGGCGCCCTGCGAGCGCGCATCCACGGCCGACCCCGCTCCCCTCAATACCACGGAGCAGCTGGCCGGAGCCCGCCCGCTCCCCCTTCCTGGCCTACCAGTCTCACCTGGACGACCGCGCGGGAACTGCGGGCCACCGTCACCCAGACTCCACCAGGTGCTGCACCTTCGGAACCTGCCTTTCCGGCTCGAGGGTGGAGCTAAGAGCCCGAGGCGGCTTCTTTTGCTGTTATTGGCTTGCGAGGGCTCCCAACCCTCCTTCTCCGCGCTGTGATTGGTCCTTGCAGTAGGCGGACTCGTGTGACTCGCGTGAACAAATCCCTGGCGGTCCCAGCCATTGGCTCTGCGAATGGAGTGAGGATAGTGAGACCGAGGCTTCTAGCCAGTAGCCAGCGCCGCAGCGCGCCTGGAGGCGGGGAAGCGCGAGGACGCGTGACGGCGTGAGGGGGCGGACACTACCACCACGAGAGAGCCGCAGCCAGGAGTTGCCTTGGCAACCGCGGTTCTTGAGGCGTTGCTGCCGGCGCCCGCGCAGTCCCTGGAAGAGGGTACCAGGCCGCCCTCCACGCGACTTTAAGATGTGACTTGTGTTAACAGTCGCTTGGCAAAAACCTGGGAAGAAAAACTATAAATGAGTTTTAAGATCTGTTTTGACGGTTTCTTTACAGACAGCCTTGCCTCCCTCTGCTCTACCTTGGATCTAGATCATTCTTCCTTGTTTCCCCAGCCCCAGTGTCCCTTAATAACCCCCTATATATGGAAGATGGAGAATTTCAAACGCAATATATCTCCTGTGATCATCTAAAGAGTTATGATTACCCCCATTTTTCAGATGAGAAAACACGAAGCTCAGAAAAGTTTAGCAAGTGGTTTGACTTGGCAGACGGCTGCTCCCTGGGGTGTTTAGGCGTCAATCTAGCCCATAGGCCGTGACCTGAGAACGCCCACGTGTTGTACGTGGTGTAATCCAGGTGTGGAACAGACTGGGGCAGAGAGCTTGATGCGCTTACAACTTTTCGGGAGCCCTAGCCTCGTCTCCACCATGTGTCAACGGTAAAATAACTTGTGTACGAGGCAATAATATTCGTGTGTACAGATGGTGTAATAGTATACGAATTTAAACAGGGCCTTCTAAAAATTCGCACAAAGGCACCATTTGGGCTAGGTGAAGGCACTTGCTCTTCAGTAGTTTCTGGAAACAGGATGCCGTTGTTTCTCTCAGGGCTATGCTCAAACTGGTTCTTCTGCCTTAAGTACTCAGCCATCTCTTCCCTTACCCATCACCCATCAACTCAGGCACTATCAGCTCGAGAAGTCCCCTTTTGGTGGATGTCTCTCAATAAGTTCAGTGACTCTCTCGTCTAACTGTCCCATGTCTGACAACCACATTCTCTGTAAAGTATCAGGACAGCGAGGTCAAATCAAATGAAAAGCAAATGGATCTGCGCTTTTGGTGGTCAGAACCCTGTAGGACGCCTGTGCAGGCAGGTGAATGGTGTCCTGGAATGGATGCTGTGGTGCACCACCCAAGTCCCCCTCTTCAGGACTGAAGCAGGCATTTAGCTTCTGAGTGTTGGCAAAGATAGCCGCCTCTCCCCACTGGCACACCCCCTTTCCATGGGACCGGAGTCCAGTGACTGGATGATGCCGCAGTACAAAAGCGCAGCCCCTCATCCTAATTTAGGACTACTTTGCTTGTCCAGCCCAGCTCCAGAGACCCCCCCCCCCTTATTGGCTGAGGTTACCAGGCTTCCTCAATTAGCAGTGTGCTCTTGGGTAACTTCTCAGTCTTACCTAGTACATCTGTAAAATGAGTTTTGTAACAATACCTACATCTCATTTGCACAAGTATCTGGAGCACAGGAAGTGTTCAGTAAAGTGCTTACTGACCATTTCAGATCATTTCTACCATAGTAGATACATTTTCTAAATCAGAACAGGTGTATGTATTGGAGGGGCCAAATTATTATTTTAAATCTTAGACATTTAGGGCTGAAAGAAAATACAGATATGGCAGCCAACTCAGTTATTTCCCTACAATGAAGAAGTGGGATGTTCAGAGAAGAGCAACGAAGGCGGTAATTTATCGAGGGTCCTCTGTATTTCAAGCTTATTATAACATACATCATTTCTTTCAAATCCCACAATAACCTTGTGACACAGGCACTATTGTTGCCATTTTAGAGAAGACAAAATAACAGTCAGAGGTTAAGTAATGTGTTTAAAGTCACAGCAAGCAGCTGTTGGAGAGGGATATAAATTTAGAGCCACCTTCTGATTCTTATGCCCATGGGTTTTCCAGTACACATCTTTTTCTTCTTTAGAGTCATGAGGCCAGGGTTGGAACCCCAGTCTTGATTCAAAGTGTGATTCCACTCTCCCCTGTAACCTCCTCTTCCAACTGAGGCACTGGCAGCCATACAAGCCAATAGAAGGCAATGTGCTCAAGATCAAACTGAAACAAGAGGCAGGCATAGCACATCAATGTGTATTATGCTACCCTTGTCTCTAATAAAATAAGTCTCATAACTCGGGGTGCCTGGGTGGCTCAGGCGGTTGAGCATTTGGCTCTTGGTTTCAGCTCAGGTCATGATCTTATTGTTCGTGGGATGGGGCTCTGTGCTGACAGTGCAGAGCCTGCTTGGAATTCTCACACCCTCCCACTCTCTCCCACTCTCTCTGCGCCTCCCCCTTCTCTCTCTGTCTCTCTCAAAATAAACAAAAAAAAGTCTTATAACTCATCAGCAGCTAAGATTATGAATACCCAGGACCTCATGCTCTAAGAGATGATAATAAAAACCAGGAATCATATGCCAGAGTCTAAAGGAACTCCTAGCAGTATGCACCCCATCCACCACACCCTTGCCACCAGTGCATTTGGCCAAGAAAGCAGAGATCCACACAAAGCAGGAAGCAGATTTCCTTCCCAATGCAGATGCTCAAATCTAGTCTTGAACTCTGCTCAAACCTGGTGCTGTTTCTCTGGCAGGATTTCTAACATGCCTCCCTGTCTTAAGTTCTGCTCTTTTTTGTACAATAATAGAACATACCAGGAATGGTCTTCTATGCCTTTTTAAAAAGGGGCGGGGGGGGGGGGTGTTCCAAACTGGAAAGACAGAGAGGCATGGGGGAACAGGGTACATCCAAAGCCTCTGAAAACAGTTATGAATCCACCCACTGACAAAACGTGGCAAACAACTTTATAGTATAGCTATTAAAGCTTCAAAGGAAGTAAAGACAAAGTGGTGTTTGACATCTTAAGTATTTAAGTCTTTGTTACCTTAATAGATTGCATTTTAAGAAAAGCTTACACATTTTTTAGATAAGTCTAATAATGCACAGAGAGTTTCATAGAATATTAGTGTTTGGAAGCGATCGGGAAAGATGACACACATTTTCCTTGATGCCACTGTTGGAAACAGCTAATAGTGCTCTAAGTTCATTAGATCCTCAACATGTTCGTTGACAGTGGATGTGCTTGGAGCCACACTAATGCAGAAATTCACTTTTTCATATGGTAAGCAGAGGCTTTTCTTCTTCTGATTAAGTTCTTTATATTTCCATTTATAATTGGAAGTTCAAGTGAGTATTAAATATGGTTCTGTTTAAATTTCAGTACTCCGTATTAAACTAAATGGAAATTCTATCACAGGTATAATTCTTTCCTCTTGGTTATCCATTGTTCTGGCTAACGTTCTATGCTAACCTTTTAAATTCCTCTTCTGAGGCACAGACACCATATCCCATCACACTTTCTCCTTCCCATTCCCCTCCCCACTGGTCCTTCCCTTCTTCCCCTTCCCGGCTCCTTCCCTCCCCCTCTGCACCCTGTCAGGGGTCCACAACCTCAGCTGTCCTTCTTGCTCCCCCACTCCCAATCCTTCAATTTTTTTCTTTTTCTTTTTGGTCCATTGCTCTTTGTTCTATTGTTATCTTGTGCTTAGATTAGGGGACAGAGGAATATAAAAACTTTAAATTTCACCAATACTTGGGAGACTTTTCTCTGATGGCTGAGGTAACTCTTTCTTGGATAACAATTTTCAGGGACCTCAGTTAATGATAACAGACTTGCCTTATAGGTTACTTTGGCATCAAATTTAAAATACTGATTTGTGAAGTTACAGAAAATGCAAAGTTTAAAAAAGAACAGAAAAACGAAGTAGGCAACTTTCTTAATATGAAACTAAATAGATACAAATCAAGGACAATGTGAAACAAATAATATACAAACTTTTATTCAAAGATATTCAAGAAAGACATGTTTTGGTCATTTTAAAGTGAGATTAATTGAAGATCTCAGAAAAATTGTATTTGATCAACGCACATGGCTACTCACAGAAAGTTCTCTCTTCTGTTAATAGCAGCTAAATTTATACACACAGAAAAAATTCTTAAGACCATGCAAATTCAGTTGAATTCCATACATTCATTATATTCATCAAAAACCTGCAGTAATATTCATGCCAAAGAGTTACTTTAAGAAAAAAATTAAAAATACACACCAAAACATGACCAAGATTAAACTAAAGAAAATAATAAATAAGCATAATTTATATTTTATTTAAAAAAGTTTGGCATCACACATAGTCAAGTGTGTTACACCATGTTCATTCCTCAGAAGTGGCATTTTAAAGTGTTAAGCATTGTTAAATATCAAAAAATACAACTCTGTTTTACAATGTAGTACTGGCATAATTCAAAGTACTGTGCCAATTATAAATAGTATAATCAAGTTTCAAACATCTTTTCAAACATATTTAAAGGAAAGCATATAGACACACATTATATGCACACAATTTATTATACTCATGTAATCAAAGGTATTTTATAAAAGCAAACAGTTTTATCCCTCACCTAGTTTGTATACTTACATAGATTTTAATACCTGTTCAAAGATTTTCAGTTCCTGTGTATACAGATTTTCAGGAGAAGGAATAAAGATAAAATTTAATTTTACAAGAACACACATTATTTTATCTTCCTTCACAAAATAATCCATAGTCATTCAAGGTTGGTAAAGAACTAGTCTTTAAGAAAGCAACTGTTGTCTAAAGACTACAGAGTAAGTACTGCAGTCCAGGATTCTTATTAAAACTCAGTCAGCTGCTGCTCATTGCAGAAAAAGCCTATGCGGTGCTTCTACCAAAAATAATCTTCAGTGTCTGAGGCCTCTCAGGGCAGCCGATCGTAGCTTCTGCTGAGACGTAAAGTGCAGCCACAAGTGGAGAAGTGCTAGGCTCTGAGTCACTTCAGAAATACTTGGTGAAGCCTGTCTCTCCAGTATAAAGATGCCAACAATGCCCTTCAGGCTCATAGTGGTTTATCAATAACTGTGACCCCTGAGCAAAGACACAAAGAAATAAAACAGAAGTCACAGGCAGCATTCTGTACCTCTCAGAAAGCAGTGGATTCTTTCCTACAAAAACAGCAGGGACTGAACAAATCATGGTGTTTCAAGGTCTCTTTCTTAAACTTTATTTAATACTACTATCATTTTAATCTAAATGACAGCTAAATCTCTGTTCCAGTTATGGACCAGAACCACATCAGACTATTTTAATCCAGAACTAACCTTTTGCTCTTTATAGTTATAATTAAAGGAAAACAATTTTATTCAGGAAATGTCAAAATCCACCTAATACTCAAAGGGACACAAGAGACTTTTGGGGGTGATGGATATTTTCATTATCTTGATTGTGATGATGGGTTCATGGGTATATACACATGTCGAAACTAGTAAAATTCTACATTTTTAATATATGCTGTTTATTTTATGTCCATTATATCTCAATAAAGCTATTTAAAAAATCCACCTAATTTTGAGCTATGTTATTCTGGGATCCTACTATATATAGTTCCTCTATTAGGTGTTTGGATGATACCTAAATAACAGTGATGGTTAGTTAGTATAAACTTCTTTTCTCTCCACTATTGGGTCAATATCAGAATGAATATTAGAATTTAGAGTGATATACATACGTATCTGTCATCAGAATAATATGCAACATACAATTTTAAAGACCCGTCATTATATTTATTATTATTACCAATCTCTTACTAAGAGAATGGGCCAAAAATGGTATTTTATATGACTCAACCACTGTTTTGCTTAAATAAGAAAAATTATGCCACTGTCTTACTGTAGTACTATCACACGGCACCCTGCCAGGGGAGATGTTCTAGTGGTTATATTTCTTGGATAGCTGAGTAATTAAAGACTTGCCACATAGTGAACTCCACTCTATGTAGATTTTAGCCATATTAAATTTTATTGTACTGTTCTACACTGGAAAGGTTTGGGATTTTGAATTCAAATGACTGTAGAATGACAAAAGAATACCAGTGCCTTATTTTAGAATATATACATCCAGTATTAATTATTTTGAGAATAAGAAATATACTTTGAGAAAATTCTTCTGACAACATTCTTACATAAAAATCAAGATGATGTAATCTTTCTCATATTCCAATAGAAGACAATTAGACAATTATTACCTGCGTAACTTCTCCCTGTGCTCATACAAGATGACACAACTGTCCATTTATCAGTCGTTGGGTTATAATATTCTACTGATGCCAAGTTACAGGAACCATCATCCCCTCCAACTACATATAACAGACCATTAACTGCACAAACTCCTTTAAAAAAATTATGAAGAGAAAAAACAATTAATTTTAAAACTTTGGGGAAATATAAATACCCCTATATGTGTTTGGTGAGGTGTTCCAGAGACACTGGTTTCCTTGAAAAGAGGCAAGAAGAGAAGATGGTGAACATGAAAACAATTCCTCTTATATTTGAGAGGTGAACACCACTTCCGAGCTCCTACTCATGCCATTAGGCAGTAGCTGCTTATGCAGGCACTATTTCAGTTAGTCTTAACAACAACTTTACTTTATGGGTCAGAGACGATTTTAATTCTTATTTTGTTAAAGAAAAATTAAAGGTCAAAACGTTAACTTTCCCAAAGTCAGCTTCTTAGGGAACCCCAAAGAAAAAATATATATTGGTAGAAGGTAAAAATGATTTTGAACTCTGAAATGATACTGAATGGTTAGCTATTTTATCTCCTGTAAAAGGAGAGAACAATATTATTTATTTATTACTAGAATAACTCATTTTTTTTGGAAAAATTCAAAATACCTAGAAAAGCATATATAAAAAAAGATCACCTCTAATTCTGTACTACTTAGAATAATGACCAGTGAAATTCTGATCTCTACTCTTGCAGACTCTTTTCTATGCATATATACTGATACTTCTTTTTTTTTTTTTAATTTTTTTTTTTATTTTTTCAATGTTTTTTTTTTTTTTTTTTTTGGGACAGAGAACAGGCATGGTAACAGAATCGAAACAGGCTCCAGGGTTAGAGCCATCAGCCCAGAGCCCGACGCGGGGCTCGAACTCACGGACCGCGAGATCGTGACCTGGCTGAAGTCGGACGCTTAACCGACTGCGCCACCCAGGCGCCCCGATACTTCTTTTTTTAATCTTAAAGTTCCTCATACTACACATGCTACTTTATTACTCACCCACTCCTAAATGATATACCTTGGACACTTCCCTAAGTTAATAAACACAGATCTATGCAATTTATAATGGCTGCGTAGTACTCCATCTATGATAATACCATAATTTGTTTGTCTTTTAGATATTGTTATTTTCAGGTGTTTTTGCTCTTATCATGATGTTGCAATGAACAAGGATTCCTCTTGCATACTTTTTTTGCATACTTGTGCAACTATTTTCGAAATACATATTTTTACAAAGAAAATTGCTGAGTTAAAAAGATAAATACCTTTTTTTAAGATTTTATTTTTAAGTAATCTCTACACTCAGCATGGGGTTCAAGCTTACAAGCCCGAAATCAAGAGTTGCATGCTCTACCGACTGAGCCAGCCAGGCATGCCAAGATGAACACCTTTTAAAAGCTCTTTATTTTAGTGTATATTTTAAAAGCATATTTTTAAGAATTTTAAACAAGGTTCAGAGCTATTAATAAACTGGCACTTGGAGGGCATTAAAACATCCAGAGGATGCTGCCCACACACTGGTCTCTGTAGTTTTGTAGACGGTTTTTCTAACATAATGAACACATGCCTGCAGATTTTTAACATAACAAAATAATGAGTTCAAATCTCTATATAGCATTTAAAAGTGGACAAGCAATAGTATTTTCTGTGCAAATGGAATGGATCTTCTCTACTCAAATTCAATTGTGTTACTATTCTAGTCTCTTGCCAGGGAGCAAACTCATGCCATTTTAATGTAGCTCAAACACTTGAAAAGCAAGAGCAAGATGGTAGTTCTACATACACAAATGACTACCTTATTCTTCTCACTAGCAGAAATGAACTAATTTTGATTTGAAAACAATAAAACACAGGTAGAGAAGAAAGTCACAGTCTATTCCAATCTTTAGGAAAATAATGAAAGCTAAATGCAAATAAATCACCCAGTCCAGCAAGGCACATGAATGTATTACTGTGGCTTTTCTAACTTTGTATACACCAGGGTCAAGCACTTATTCTACTTAATAATTTGTGGGTCTTACCATAGTTCTGGACTGTCTAAAGCAGAGAGGTTTTTAGTACCTCACCAAATACAATTGACTAGATGAGGGGAAATGTCAAGTGGAATTAATTATAAATCCTGTTCTGTTACGGACAGTCCTTGCAGTCCCACGTACTTTGTCTCCCCTCATGATCACACTGAATTAAACAGAAATTTTTTTTTTTAATGTTTATTTTTGAGAGAGAGAGTGTGTGTGTGCCTGTGTGCACGATGGAGGGGCAGAGAGAGGAAGAGGAATACAGAGGATCTGAAGTTGGCTCCACGCTGACAGCAGTAAGCCCTAAGCGGGGCTCGAACTAATGAACAACAAGATCATGACCTGAGCCAAAGTTGGACGCGTAACCAACTGAGCCACCCAGGCGTCCCGAATAGAAATTTCTGTAAAAATAAAGAGAAATTCAGAGGAGCATTTTGGGCAGGATCGAGGGTGCATCTTGCGACATCATCCAGTGGTGTACAGTGAGTTTGAGAATCATGAGGAACTTATTTTGGACTGGAAAATGGCATGAAGATAATGGCATTTTCAAATAGACCAGCATTTCCTGAAACGACAATCTAGCTATCCTGAATCTAGTTTCCATTTCTATTTTCCTTTCATGGATCTTCTTTCTAAGAGGTTAGTTCCCTAATCTTGAAGACCTCAGTTTTCTTAAAATTACTTGTTGCTATTATTGTTTTAGCTTTTCCATTTTTAGAAATCAAGAACTAGTAAATTAGGGTTAGCTTCTTCAAGCTTCAGATTCAGGTAAACAACTAGCTTTTAACCTGGTACCAATATTTACTCAACCAGACTAAATCGAGAACTGTAGTCTCTAGTACATTATGCATGGTATGCAATAAAAAATGTTTGTGGTTAAGAATGAATGAATTCAAGCATCAAATATAGAGGGCTCTTCCTCTCATTTAGTCACCAAAAAGTAGCCACTAAGCTAGGCATACACTATATAAAATTATTACATAAGCTTCTGTCTTTAAAGAACCAACCTATTAGAAAACCCAAATCACTAAAAGAATAAATATACAGCGATACTAGTAAAACTCTTAATACAAATCAATATACATTTCATAACTGTAAGCTAGACAGATACCTGCATTTCTTCTGCACATGTTCATATCTGCAACCTGCCTCCATGTATTGGTGGTGGGATCATACACTTCAACACTTTTTCGTACTAAAGGACCATCATGACCCCCTACAGCATACAGTAAATTGTTTAACACACCAACACCTATAAAACACAAAGAACCAAACTAGAGCAGAGTAAAAGGGACAAGAAATTTAGAACATATTGGGGTTTCTACAAATGACTTGTAAAAGTAAGTCAATATTAAAGCATACAATCTAAGAAATGGAAATGAACAGAATTGACAAATGAGTATCCCAATAAGAACTATTATTCTAAAAGAGGGATGTCAAATAGAATAAAAATAATATGTACGTGAAACACAGAGACGCAAGTCCTTTAACATGATCTCTTGAAATCAACTTTCATGGTGTAAGCAAACCAGTATTAAAGCACAAAATGTGTAAGAAAAGGATATGAAGAGACTTGATTATTGAGTTCAATAAGCACTCAAAACAAAAACTAAAAGGAATGCCAAACAATATAAATAATTAAATGAAACACAGAAGAAGCCTTTAATATAGCACTTACAAATTTTACAGTGATATTTAAGTACACCTACTACCACTACCTGCATAATTCAAAAGACATTTGACAGTGGCATTAAAATCAGTATGTATATTTTCCGATGGTATAAAGAGATGCTAATGAACCATTTCACTTGTTTAACTCTTTTCCATCATTTTCATACTTCAATTGCTAAATGAGTTTCCTACGTACCGGCTCCACTCCGTCTGGTGCTCATTTCCGCTATATAGGTCCACTCATTTGTGGTAGCATTATAGCATTCGACTGTGCTAAGACACTGACGTGACGCTCCATCATACCCCCCTACAGCATAGAGCAAACCTAAACAAGGAATCACAAAGAAAGCCAAATTCATAAAAAGCCATTTTTTCAAGTCATAAAGTATTTTCCTCCACAGTAGCAGTTTCCCTTTTGTTACTCATTTTTATAAATTATGAAGATCTTGCCTAATGGTGACAGTAGAGTTACCAAACTGCATTATGAAGATCTATACGTGATGGTATTAATTTAACATTTTCATCAATAAATCTGACTATAAAACAGAAACATAAAACTCACTACATCTTTGGATAACATTATTTGGTAAGTGAACAACATCCTGGAAAACAGAATATAGTAATCTTAGTAACTTGGGAAAAAACAGTTAAATCAAGAATCTAAATCAAGAATTAGTACCAATATGCAATAGAATATTATTTGGCAAGAAAAAGAAATGAGGTACTAGTAAATGTTATAGCATAGATGAACCTTGAAAATTTTATGCTAAATCAAAGAAGCCAGTCACAAAAGAACACATACTATATGACTTCATTAATATGACATTTCCAAAAATGGGAAATTTATCCAGAGACAGAAAGTAGAGTAGTGGCTGCCGAGGTCTAGGGAGAATGGGGATGACAGTTAAGGGGAGTGGACTGCTTCTTGGGTTAAAAATGTTCTAAAATGAATTGTGGTGATGGATGTACATTGAATTGAACACTTTAAATGGCTGAATTGTTTGGTATGTGAATTATATCACAAGAAAGCTTTTCAAAAAAAAACTCAGTGCAAAGAATTATACCCACAGTAGGGAGGGAGTGAGAACCCACAGATCAGATAAAATAAAAATCACACCAAAAAGTAATACTTATAGCCTACTTAAGCTCTGTTGGTAAACAAAGTAGAATATAAATAAATAACTGTGGCAATACATCCTCTTAAATGTGAAATAGCCTTTCTCTAGAATTAAAATTTTGCACTTATGTCACTTGATTTGTTCCCCAAATAATCGTATTAAGATCAGTTAACAGTTTTATGTAAGGTACAAACATACACACACACAGACAGAGAGAGGGAGAGAGAGAGAGAAAGAGGGAGGGAGAGAAAGGGGCAAAGAGGAGGACAGAGGGAGAGAAGGAGGTGAGGGGGAAACAAGGGCCTTACATAAGTTACTTTATATAGACAAACTAATTTAAAAAAATAAATAAAATTTTACGATGGCTACTCCTTTCCTTTTTTAAATGATCATTTGCTTGCTCATTTAGAAAACTGGTGTTTGGATTACTAGAAGAATCACTGCTAGCAATCCAGAAGCCATATGTGCCTGGAAATGTTCACCTAAAAGAACAGTCAGCACCCACCTCCAACAACACCGACACCCACGCTGCTCCTCCTTGTGTTCATGGGAGCCACGTGAAACCACTCATTAGACTTTATATTATATGCCTCCACAGATGATAAACCTATAATAAAGCACAATGCTCTTCATTTCCTCCTCTAAAAAAAAGTGAGGTAATTTTTCTTTTATATATATTATTAGGGAAAAATACTTTAGGTATGTTAAATTGGGCTAAAATTAAAAGAGGAAAATGGTGGAAGGTAAACATGTCAATTACATAATAAATAGGAATAGCCTCTCTTCCCCAGGGCCCCTAACCATGCTACTCACACTTACTAGCTTTTTAAATGTAGTAAGAGGACTGACAGTGATCCATAAGGAAGAAAATTTATATACTTAGTATTCTTACACTATTTAAAAGAGTTCTTTTAACATTTATTTATTTTGAGAGAGAGAGAGAGAGAACAAGTGCAAGCAGGGGAAGGGGCAGAAAGAGAATTCCAAGCAGACTCCCTGCACTATCAGCACAGATCTCATGAACTGTGAGATCATGACCTGAGCCAAAATTAAGAGTTGGACGCTTAACCACCTCAGCCACCCAGGTGCCCCTAAAAGAATTTTTGATGGGAGTTTTTAAACTTATCTTTATAAATACCCGTTAAAACACTCGATGTCTAATTTTGCCCCAATTTGTTCCCTAAATGTGATTGTTGTGTTAATTCTAATGCAATGTAGAAAAGATGAAAAGGAAGTTACCTGTACTGCCATCAAAGCCTCCCACAGCATATAACAATCCATTTAATACAGCAGCCCCCAAAGTGCTTCTGCGGTCTCGCATGTTAGCAACACTGGTCCACTGATCTTTCACGGGGTCATAGGAATCTACAGTGCGGACTCTTAAGGAGCCATTAAAGCCACCAACAGCAAAAACGAGCCCAGCCATGTAGACCATCCCTGCAAGAGAAATCCAGCAGTTAACGATGAGTATGCAACCATACTCATACCATAGATAGACTACCATACTATCTAAAGGCTGCATTCCAGTAAGTCTATAGCTGTTGTCAGAATATAAGCTACTCTTAGGAGAATGCTGACTGAATAGAATTCTACTCATTAGCAAGAGTATCTAACCAATAAATTTTCCTCCTTTCTAAGATTATTAAGAAATCCAATGGTATGGGCTGACATATTATTCTGACTCTTGACTTTTTCAAATATTTATTTATAGACTTAAATACTGAGCCAAGAAGTTTGCCAACCACTTGTGTACAGCTCCCATGGCTTTCAATTTTGGATCTTCTACTTTATATGTGTATCTTAATTTGCACAATATACTTCTGGTTTATCACAGTGCGATAAATCAGGGGACAGTAAATTACAGCCTGCAGGCTGATTATTTTTTGTAGAACCTATGAGCTGGGAAGGGGTTTTACATTTTTTAAAATTTATGTATTTATTTTGAAAGAAAAAGACACACACAAGAGGGGCAGAGACAGAGAATCCCAAGCAGGTTCTGCACTGTCAGTGTAGAACCTGATGAGGGACTTGAACTCACCAACCATGAGATCATGACCTGAGATGAAACCAAGAGTCGGACACTTAACCGACTGAGCCACCTAGGTGCCCTTACATTTTTTTAATGGTTGAAAAACCACCAAAAGAAAATTTTGTGACACGTAAAAAATTACATGAAATTCAAATTTCTGCATTCATAAGTCTTGCACAGCCCCACCCATTCATTAATGTAGTATCTATGACTACTTTCACACGATAGTGGCACATGAGTTGTGACAAAAACCATATAACCCCCAGAGCCTAAAATACTCACTCTCTGGTCCCAAAGAAGTTCGCTGACCCTGGGCTAAAGAGAGGTTAGGGAATCCCTGGATGGAGAAGCCAAATTGCTAGCCTCTGGATCTCAACTACCTTTTCACTTTTCTAAGCTTTCTCCTGTGCTTCTCCTGATCTGAGAAGCCCCTCTCACCATCCGCTGTGCTTTCTTCAAGTTTAAAGTCCTACTGAAAGTTCCACATTCTCTAGGAGACCTTCCTCGAACCACTTGAGCCTGAAGAAATTACCTCTAGCTCCTGAACCCCTAGAGCAAATAATACTCTATACAGCGCATTTGAGGTTAATAAATCTTACTGAACCTGCATTATCATCACTTTAAATTGTTCAAAGTTTTATTTTTAAATTCTGTAGTGTTTATGTCACTGCTCAGATGAAGGCAGGCATTGTGCCTCACAGTTCTCTGAATCCAGCCAGGAGAAGAGAAATCACCAGCTCTGTGTTGACCAGCTCAGTGTTTCCTATGATGGTGTCAGGCAAGCATACATCACTACCCCCGACTGTCTTACCCTCTGATGCTTCATCCCCAGCTCCCAAAATATTTAGGGATGTGTAGTCCTTCATATGGCATGAAGACTCCTACTGTTCAAATGAAGCTGCCCATGTTGGCAGCTCCCTGTCAGAGAAAGGAATGACTTCCCAGTCCCTGCTTCAATCAGGAAATGAAAACTCAAGCTAGTTTCTGGTAAATCTTCAGAGTTTGAGGAGAGCTGTAGGCAGTGGACAATTTAAGTAGGCAGGGGACTAACAGATGCTAGAGAGTAACCCCTGGATTCCTGAGTGCCCTCAGTAGCAGAAAATGTGGTAGATCTCCTGGGAGGGTGGGGGGAGAGGCAGTGAGCAGTGAACACTGCAGGCAATATATTTCACCGTGAAAATGCCCTATATCCCAATTCATAAGGAGCACTGGGGAACGTTCACTGTGGAAATTTGGTCCATTTCAATGTTTTCTTTTCTCTACAAACAAAACAAAAATCTATCATTTCTTGGAGACAGTATAATATGCTTACCAAGTGGTAGGGTATAAATGACTCAATATATGAGTCCAAACACTCTGGGGTAGAGGTGGGTGAACTAAAAGAATTGATACTTGGGGCACCTGGGTGGCTCAGTTGGTTAAGTGTCTGACTTTGGCTCAGGTTGTGATCTTGGAATTCATGAGTTAGAGCCCCACGTCAGGCTCTGCACTGACTGCAGAGCCTGCTTGGGATTTTC